TCTCTGTCAACGCTCTCTGGTTTCATTTAAAAGAGCCGATCTTCAGATATTGTCCAAGATTAACCTTCAGGGTGGATATAGCTCACTCACCCTGAGGACCTATCCACGTCATCATTTACTCAGAATGCTTTGCATGTAAATAAAATAGCCCCGTCCGTGCAATATAATTTTAAACTTTTATTTTAAAAATGATAAAAACTGAACATCCTACAGCATTTTTACAGTTTTGATTTTACAGTTAAAATATATGTTTATTAAATAAAGTCTAATGTAACTAATCATGGGTCCCTTTAAAAAAAGACCTCAAATGTGAAAAGGGAAATAGCATGGGTCAACATTTGTCTGGGTTTTATACCAAGASAGGGCTTCAGATGGCTTGGTTCTCTTCATTTTAGTTTGAGATGCTTGTGCTTTTGTAACTCGACRGCTGCAAGTACTGCTCCATAAGTACTTGATTACTGTTAAATTATTTTCTTTTTGCTATTTGTTACAGCCAGTTGTTTCCCTTWCGAGTTCTCAGCATTTTCTTTTCTACCTTTGTTGTGGCAATACTTTACAGTTCACTGATGCTATAACAGCAAATAAGCCAACCTCTTTAGGAGCCATTAGTGTYGACTATCCTATACTTAAAATCCGTTATCAGCTGCCAGTACAATGTAGCTCTCCTCTTAAGTACCATGACCTAAAACCCAACATTAAAGTTTTCTTTTTATTGTGAGCTTGACAATCTTCTAAGAAGTCAGCTGTATCTCAAGGTAAGTGCTCCATTGTTCTATGTTAACTTTATTGCATAGAAACCACAATATAATGGCTTTTTTTCTTTCCTTATTTTTACCTCCTGTCATTGTGACTAAAACTCTCAAAATGGCATTTAATTCACAGGGTCTTTTTTTCAAGCATTTTCCAGAAAAGCCTTGCCACAAWTTGCTGAGTCATTCAGGTTATTGTAAAGGTATCATTACCCAGGTTTTCAGCTATATTCAGAGTACCAACCAATACACTTGCTGCTTAAGGATTTGCTATAATTGTGCCTGTTTTGCAAGAACCAGCTCAGATTTACCATACAGTTCTTAAATGCAAACATAGCCTGTAATGGACTTGTCAGGAATGAAACGTGAAGCGTGGCCTGACAAGAGCCCTACAGTAGGGTACACGTCACGTCTTACCACATCAGGACATTGTCACCCTTTCCCTCCCACCCCAGCCCTCATTGATAGCCGCTGACAGCCACCGTGTTTCCCCAAGTGTCGACACAGTGAATGCCACGACACTTATCTCCACTCAGCTTTGTCCTGTCCCACTCCTCTGCCATGTCAAGGCCGGTTCTGGGGCGCTCAGCGTCAGATATATGACTGACTGATTCCACCGTGGAGAGCAGCCATAAGGGCAACGAGGTGGAGGTAAAGGTGGGGAGAGAAAATAAGATAGCAGAGACAGGGGAAGCTGTGCTTCGAGGTCTCTCGGCGTGGTTTCTCATACAGCAGCAACAGTTAGAGGCTTAGCATCGACTTGAGTTATGCCTCCCACTGACACTTCAATCAGTCCAGAGGCACCTTTGAAAGGTTGTGCCCCTTAGTTCTTTCTAAAATTCACACCCGGTGATGCATTTGTAGGTCTTACTGTCTCTGCTGAAAAGCTGAGGTATATTGGTTTATTTATTCTTCGGTGCAATTTTAAGTGAATTTTTCCTGACTGGTGCAATTATCTGCTGCTGGCAGAATATTTGGGAGTGGATGAATGGATGTCACACAATGGCTGCATGATCTCACATGGTTAAGAAAAAAATGAGGAAAAAACGTAAATGCAAACATTATTTATGTGTTTTACACTTTCATCATTCCATTATTTTTATTGCTGCATTTTTTTTCTTGATGTTCTGCATGCGTTTTTTTTTATTAAAACTATATTGTTGTGTGYGGTAATAAATGTATCTCTGTTTCTCTTTGACTACAGCTTTCTGGTGAATCCTGATATTATAAATGAATGTGTTAATATGTGTTTGCACCCAAGACATAGTGAATTTGAAAATGTTTTGATTTATTTTGCATATATCTTTTTTAAGGAGATAACTTAGACACCTGTTGCACCATGGGTCATTCACAGAACAAATYTATAAAACTTACAGATCATTTAACATGAGCTCCTTCTTTTATTACCTCCCATCATTGCAAGGAGCAGATATATGTTGATTTTTAAAATATTTTAATTTTAGTTTTGCTAACTAAAATCCAATTGAATCTGTTGCATTCTTCCTGTGACAGACTGACTGTCAGTGAGAAGTTTATAACTTGTGTCGACACCTTCCACATCAGGACAGTTCAATAAATAGATTTGAACAAGTAGAGCTTCGATGCTTTGTATCGCTCTTCCGAAAGGGATTTACTTGTTGCCATGACGACACAATGCGAATCAACAAAAGAGGTGACTGATAACATTGACATGACTAATCTCTCTTCTTTTTTCTTATYTCTGCCCCCTTGTTTCCTCTCCCTCTCTTCCATCCTTTCTTCATGTATCTGTGGCCCCATTTGTTTTTAAAGCTTTGTGACCCCGCCCCCCCCCCACACTCCCACTTCTTCCTCTCTCCATTTCCTCACCAACTGCACTTTTCATGCYTTCTCACCCTCTGCAAACCCCGCCCCCCTCCTGTCTGAGACAAGTGTGTGTCCAGAGAAGTTGTCAGCTCAAAATCACATTTCACTGTGCAGCCTTCTCAGATACCAGCAAGATAAAGGAAGCCATAAATAAGTCCACATCATTCACACGTTACTGCTTTGCTTTYAAACCTAACAGAGCCATGAAGAACCAGAGGAATGATATAAAAAATAAAACTGTGTGAAGGGGGTGGGTAAAGCAGTAGAAGACTACAGCCACAGCCCTAAAATGGAGGTTATAGTAAAGGACATATTTCATGCAGAAACCACAGCATCTTTTTTTTAACTTGCCCACTGTGCTAAGCATGCTAATACGGAGGGTTGCATGATCACAAAAAAAGTGCCTGAAAATCAATGCAGCTTGTTCTGTGCAGGATGTTATTAGCTGTTATTGAAGATTTTGAATTTTGGCTCTCAGTCACCATAGCAACCAAAATACAATGCCATCCTTTTAAATCTGACTCATTGCTTTCTTTGCATTTTGTGCTG